TGATTGGCAATAGGTGGAAAGGCTTGCGGTAGCACCATGCGAAGGAATATATCTCTTATGAGCATGTGGTTCTGAAAAGAACCAGGAGTATACTCAACATTTTGACTGCATGCTCAGTCCATCGTCAGGAGACCGGAGAGATGCTGAAGATGGAGCTGTTTATATAAGGCGACTGGATGCAGTGGAGTGTGACAAGGATGCTAGTGGTAGATTCTGCTGGGCGCTTATGCAGGACGGGGTCCAGCAGGTCAGTGAGGCATGTCAGTTGGGCATAGCTTGGGGCAGGGTGAGGTGGCCGGGGTATAGGAGACCCATAGGCAGGGATGGGGTGTCCTAGGGTATAGAGGACCCATTGGACTGGGAGGTGAGCAGGGGTTGCCAGATGTCACTGATGGAAAAGCTGATTTCTTGGGGAACGGTGTGCTTGAGGATCTCCAAGGCTTCTCTGATGCTGGTGATGACGTGAGCTTGGTCCCAGTTGATGCGATGGTCTTCAGAGTGGGAATGCTTGACTATCCCCTGACTTCTCATGCTCTCTCTTCCTGCCATGGGCTTGGTGTTCTTTGAGTCTGTAGGGGAGGTCTCTACAAGTCTCGCCAATGTACCGTACACTTTGCTGCATTGGCAGGGATCTTGTACACCCCTGGTCGGTGGTGTGGATCTTGTCGATCCTTGTGCAATGTTTTCCACGGGCTGTTTTAGCAGGGCGGACCACCCTGCCAAAATTTTGGGCCGCCCCGCTAAAATTTGTGCTGCCCTGCTATTTTTTTGAGTAGTGGATTTTTCCCAGAATGTCTACATTCTCAAGATTTTAATAAAGAGGTTTACCGCAGTTTGTGGATTGAGTTTGAGTTTATCGATAACGCTTATAATGTACTGACAATGGTGATCGTTGGCTGCCTACCGTTATGCATAGTCAACCTTTTGTCCCGAAAAACCATCACGTATGTTTTGTACCTGTACACGTACATTGTATGGCGCAAGCGTGTACATGCAGTGCACGTGACTGGTACCTGCAGCGCAACATTGTTTTGTGGAGTGAGTGCGGGTGCCAGTGGAAGGACCGTGCCATTCCTGAGTGGCCCCGACGCTCTGTTTCAATGGAGGGGTTGCTTCATTTTAATGACGTGAGCTGGAAATTGTAAACTTATGTTTGCCTAAAGATACATTGTATTTTTTTTGTCCTTTTCTATTCAAGGGCACATTTTGAGGCTTGTTTTTACTCTGCCTTTTCACAGTCAACTGATCATTGAGAAAACCACATGCTCTGCTCATCTCAAGCATGTTTCGAGTCACTAACAAGAGGTTCTGCTAAAAATGCTCTGGAAATCAAAACAATTTTGTCATCAAATCTTTTGATGAAAAAATTCCTCCCGAAGAATATCCTAGCCAATATTTCACGTTGTAAATGCAATCAGATTTGGGGCCAAATTACAGATGAAAGTGGACTGCAAATTGCTCCAGAATGCACCACAGAGCATGTAGAATCCAAAATTTTCCCCGAACTAGGGCTCAGTTGACAGATGACTTGATTTTGGGATGATGGAAGGAGGAGCTATTGAGGTATCTGTCGGTGTGAGTGGGTTTGCGGTACACTTTGTGAGAGAGGCGGCCATCTTGACTTCTGGACACCTCAACATCAAGAAAGGAAATGCTGCCATTTACTTCTATCTAAGACGTGTCAGAGGTTGTTTTGCCCGTGTTGCCAGATGACAAATTTGTCATCCACATACTGGAGCAGATCTTGGGACAAGGGTCTGCGAGTGGCGATGGCGGTCTGCTCGAATTTTTCCATGAATATGTCAGCCAGAACTGGGGATATAGGCAATCCCATAGAGGTTCCAGCTACATGGAACTGTTCAAAGAATTTGTCCTGCCATCGGAAGCAGGAAACTAAGAAGAAATTTTTTGGCCACAGTGACCAACGATGTTTGGCAGGAGAATGGAGAGGTCTTTAATCCGAAGAATACCAGACCCACAGTGAAGCATGGTGGTGGCAGGATTACTGGTGCATGTATGCTTTGGGGATGTTTTGCTGCTAATGGTTCAGGAACACTGCATAAGGTACCCATAGCTGGCACCATGAAAAAGGAGCGCTACTTGGAAAATCTCTAAGGAAACCTCAAGTAGTCAGTTCGGAAGTTGAACCTTGGACATCGATGGACCTTCCAACATGGCAGGGACCCTAAGTATACTTCGAAGTTGGTTGCTGGATGGTTAAAAAAAAAAACAAAGTGAATCTTATAGAATATCTGGCACAAAGCCCGCACTTAAATCCAATAGAGAATTTGTAGATATAGTTGAAAAAGAGAGTGCGCAAAAGGAAACCAACCGATTTGCCTGAGATTGACAGCCAAAGATTGACAGTGGAGCGACTGTCATGTACTGTCTGAAAAAATGTAAATTTTCCCATGGTTGGCCAGTTGACTTTTTATTGCATTTTTTCTTACCCTACCGTGTAATCAATATTTTATATCAGACTTCCAATCTGCCGAAGACATTTGCCCTTCCTATCTCAGCATTCTTTTCTATCCAAACCTGGATTACATGTTTCTACAGTATATTTCCCCACCCTACTGCTACATATCTTTTTCATTCCGAGCATCTAACCCACCAAAAATATTAGTCCTTCCCATCTTAGCATTTCTTTTCTATCCAAAGCTGGATCATGTGTGCTGTTAATTTCCCCCGCCCCGCCGTGTTTTTTTTATTAGGAGCATCCAACCCTCCAAAAATACTAATTCTTCCCACCTCAGCATTTCTTTATACACCCTGGATCATGTGTGGTTTTATTTTTTTTTCCTGCCTCACAGCGTCGGTATTATTTTTATTCTGAGCATCCGACCCGCCAAAAATATTAAGACTTCCCATCTCAGCATTTCTTTTCGATCCAAACTTAGACCACTTGTAGTTTTTATTATTTCCCCACCCTATCATCTAACCATTAGTTGTTTTCTGAACATCCAACCTGCCAAAGGTCTTTGTATGTTTGTTGTGATGCTGCTATTTTTGCACGAAAGGAACATATCACTATTGTAATGCACTATCATGTTTTGGAATGTTGAGGAACGCATTCCAAAATGCTGTTTGGAGCACAAAGGAATGGGAGGCCGTGCAGATCAGAAGGGAATGTGTGTGAACGTGTGAATGCGTACAAACCCTACTGAAAATGTCTCATTCATTTACCTGTTGAGACCAATTCACTTACACAGTGGATCCAATTTACTTACCCACTGGATCCAATTCATTTACCAATTGGATCCAATTCACTTCACCAATTCAGTAACCAATTCCAAAACCAATTGCTTTTGCTTGGAATCAATTGGAATCAAATTGGTTTGAATACCGGTAGTAAATTTGGACCTTTTCTCAGTTGAATAATTTCAAACCAATTGACACAATTTGAATGACAATTCACAATCCACTTGTACCAACCAAACCATTTCAATACCAATTCAAATCAATTGAGTCCCATTTGAAAACTCCCTTTGATGGGAGAAACAAGCTGAAAGCAAACTAATTGGAGCCAGTTACGTCCCATTTGAAATTTCCAATTGATCAAGGAAAACAAACAGAGGAAAGCATACCAATTGGAACCAATTGATTCTCATTTGAAATTCTAATTGATTAGGGTGAATAAACAGTAAAGAAAAAAATGCCAATCGAAACCAATTGCTTTCCATTTGGAATCTTCATTTGATGGGGAAAAACTCATCAGTCAATAAAGGTAAAATCCCCCAAAATCTAGGAATATCTAGAAAGTACACAACAGCCTCCATCAGTTTTTAAAATATTTCTGCCCAAAATGCTGTAGTTTTTGAGAAAACATATTTTTTTCTCTGTTTGCAATGCTTGGCTGACCATGGTTAACAGTTTGCTTCGTTGTACATGTATATACCACTTCCGTTAACAGTCGCCTTTTGTATGTGTACATGTACATGCACATGTAGTGTGCAAATGTTGTGGGAGTCTGAATGAACAGGTACATGAAATACTAAAAACAGCTGAAACTTTACCAGCAGAATTTCACCAAATGCATTGTAAACTGAAATTGGAGGAAACTGGGTTTAAGATATAAAGTTAAAAATAAATTGGACCAGTTTCTTAATGTTTCAAATTCAAAATCACCCCATGATTTGGTTCATACATGGTGGCCATTTCTGAGGTTCATAGCAAAAAGATTTTTGTCAACAAACAGTACGATCCACATATTAAACATCCTGTGTTTCAAAATGATTCCCTCTTTACCCATGATTATTATTATTTCATTGGTAACGTGTATTAACTGACTTGAAAGTGTGGTCATTCTTGTATGCTCGTATCAATGTCATGGATTTAAGCTTACTGCATACATGTACTTCATTCCAAGATGAATTTTTTTCTGTGAATCCGCATTGCCACATTGTAGAGGCGCATCTTTCCAAGGTGAATTCACTGACTGTTGAAAGCTGCTTCTTTTCAAAAGGGAAAGAGAACGGGTCAGCAGTCATACCTGTTCTCTACCCTGACGTTACCCCACAGGTGTTGTACATGTAGCTCACTATGATCTACGAACACCTTCTAGTTATTGGTAAAATCAAAGATCTTGCAATAAAAATCCACTGAGAATGCTGCTCTGTTTTTCTTGATTTTTTAAGAAGCAGTTGACTCAAACATGAAATAAGTCATGAAAGCTGCAATAAATCTTATTCCCTGCAATCAGACAAGCTTGTGAAATAACGACAAAAAAAATCAAAGTTGTCACCTTCCTTTAAGATAATAAGTGACTGTATATGTAGTTGACATTTTGCTGCAAAATTAGCTAATTTTGAAGAACTACCCAGAGTGGATAATGATGATGTAGAGCATGTCTCATTCTAATGCCAAGCATTTATCCCTTGGGCACTATTCATTCGGTTAGCTTTTGAGTGGGGGGTAGAGATGGGCTTCCTAGTAATGGGTCAACAGAAAGGAAACTGGCGTACATACATGTACTGTACATGATTTGTTGTAACCAACAGATGGCCACAGTGAAATTGGTGAGATATTTGACAGTGTTGAACAAGGGCTGATAGACATTGACAGTGAGCTTCACCCAACAGATGCAAATGGAGAACGATCAAGTAAGATTTATGTTACTGTACATGTACTTTTTGTTTTTATTTTGTTTAAGTGCATTGCCATAACTTGTTTTATCATATATGTATGTTGTTTCATTGTGTGCCCACATCTCCCCTGAAAGCTTTAGTCCCATCCTTTTTCTTTTTGAAAATAAAAATATACGGACCAAGTTGTTACATGTATGTTATACCAATGTGTCTAAAAAACATCTTGAAGTACAAATGTGTTCTGATTTTGGCACCCCCCCAATTGACAACCCATTCTATCACGGCTTGTCTACAGTTTTCCTGATCAGTCTGCTGCTGGAGGATGTGAATCTACAGACTTCCTGGAATGGGAACTCAGGCATTGCAAAGTTCTAATGAGCAATGCTGCCATATGCTTTTGTTATCTCAATAATAGGTGTAATGAATGAATAACGCTTACGTGTAGATTGCTCAAAAGTATGAATTGATGAAATGTAGAAAAGGGTCTAGTTCTCTTGAAATTTATATCCACAGAAGGACGTTATGCCTGGTCGTACATGTACATGTAGCAGTTCTTTTCAGGAGTAACTGTTTAATCCTGTATATGAAGTTGCGCAATGTTTGCACCATAATTTTGCACGATCAGATTCTTTATTTACTATATGCCGATTCTTTTGTCATTCGTGAATCATCCATGAGGAAATTATCCACCGCTCACTTTTTCCCATACATAAACAAAAGATTATGAAAAATTCTCATACATATATGTCTAAGCTTATAGTGTATGTGTGAATAAATATTTCCCCACAAGTTTCTTTTGAACGTATTATATTATGACTTCAATTTTTAAAGTATGATGTGCATGTACTCTACCGGTATTCATTGTGGAATGTCTCTTGGAATTACCGGTACTTGTATTTCACAAGCATCAATACACAATGAATTAGAACATTGGCTCATACGAAGTTTCACTGTTAATGTGAATTACATGTATGTGCTGGCTGGTCAATATTTCTTTTTTTCTTTATTCCTCAAAACAGAAATCCTACAAAAATCAACACTTTTGATCTGTGCCTGTGTTTCATTGTCAGACATACATGTAGGTTGTTTGGCAGTTGCATAAAGCATGTTTAATTGCTTATGCTGAATTATGTTGTGGCAAATATTCTTCTCAATAATTCAGCCTTAAAGCCACAAATACATGTATGAACTTGCCCTCCCAGTAATGAAATATATGCAAAAATAAAACTCATTTTTAACAAGTTAATGTGCAACGTGCCCACGTCATTTAGTTCCTCAGCATCGTCATGATCAAATGTGACGTTTGTTGGTATTTTTCTTTTTGAAGCAGTAGGTGTTTGTCTGCTCTGGTCAGAATTCTTGGGTACATGTTTGTGACCGGTACAGTGTGCATTTATATACATGTCTTGTAAGAATACACATACATTGTACGTGTGTACTCACCACTTGTTACGCTTTATTTTATGCCTCAGGATTTTATGCTGATATTGCTGACTCCATTTCAAAACTGAAGAATGATCTTCAAGATTTTCATCTAAAGATAGCGTATGTATACACGTATATACA